TGTAAAAGTAGAAGAACTTCTTCTCTTGTCACATCTGTCAAGCTGTGCAATGATGCAAAATGCATTAAAACTAAATTAATAAGTCTGTTTTTATTATGTAAGAGGCAGAAGATACAGATATTCGTGTAAAAATGTAGGAGGTTAAAGTAAAAAGTTGTCAGAAAAATAAATACTCAAGTAAAGTACAGATGAAAGAACTACTAAAGTACAGTAACAGTAAATATATTTGTACTCTATTAAGTCCCACCTCTGAATCTTCCCAAAATGTCAAAATCATTCCTGTAAAAGTCCAGCGTGTACAAAAACACAACAATTCCTATATTCAAGTGATTATACATATACATGAAAATATTAATAGATCCATCCAATCCAATTCCTGCCAATAGATCCTCCTAAATGTTACACACTGGACCTTTAAATCAGATCAGTTTTTAAAACCTAAACCTACCAAACCTGGGTTCCTCCTGTGTGTCTGCTCACCTTTATCCTGTCGATGTTGGCTTCCATCTTCAGCTGTTCCACCAGCTTCCTGGCTTGTGCAATGCTGGCCGTGTTATTGCTCGCCATGGGCGCTGTCAGTCAGGTCTCGTGTCCTCTGCCTACGTGGAAGAGACAGAGATTCAAACACCCCAGACATTGCAGTTCACCAGGAGTGTGCCACTGATGGAGACGAGCACTGTAGTACAAGCAGGCATGCAAAGGAGGAGTGCTAGTAACAGATATCCTGTTTATTATCACATGCCTACGAACACACACACACACACACACACACACATGCCACAGACACAGGCATATTATTTATGGTGTCAGTTGCTAGGCAGCCTATGACAGTGAGGGGGAGGCAGGGAAGGTGGGAGGATAGTGAGGGGGCAGCTCTATATTCAAAATAGATAAACGGATAACTAAGATTACAGGTTTCAGAAATAAAGAAAACTCTTATTTTGTGCTGATAACGGTGGTTTTCTTAACGCCCGCTCATACTCAGCGACACTTCTTTGTCACCGTGTCACACAAGGG